TTTTAATAATAAACTATAAGTTGGTTTTTTGACTTTTTTTTAATTTTTTATTTAAAAAATACTTAAAAAATATGAGAATGATGTGACTTAAAATGAGTTAAGAGTTGGAAGACGACTTTTAACTATCTTTCCAAAATAGTCCTTAACCTAAAGTTTTATTTTTAAATTTTAACAATTTTTATTGCCTATTTCACCATTGATTTAAATGGTATGTATATCATTATGTTTATTTTAGACATTAAAAAAAAAATTATGGAGATTTTTATAGTACATTTATGATTTCTTTGTGGAGATTTGCCTGGTATATATATTATCATAAATGGTATTTATGAATGTATATCATAAAAGTTTAATTTTTTTTAAAGAGAGATTTACATGGTATTTTTATCATTGTGTTCAATGATTATTGTATACATAGTGTTGTCGTAATTTTATCAATTGGAAGTGTGAAGTTTCACACTTACTGTTTTCATGTGTTACAGTTTTAAATGTAAATATTTACATTTATAATTTTAAATTCAAATGAATAAATATTCTAAGTCTTGATTTTCTTAAAATATAGATTTCGATCCAAATGTATTGGTAGCCAAGTGTATTCTTGATTGGAAAAGGATATGATGTATATATGCATTCTAATATTCAAAGTTATAGATATAGATTTTAATATTTGTGCTATTCAACTATTATCGAAAAAATTGTTACTGATTTTATCATTACGGTCGACAACATGACTAGACATGTGCTAATATCAGTTTTGCGGACATAAATCTCTTATGTAAAGGCTACACCCAGGGGCTGAGGTGTACTGTGTACATTAAGCATTCAAAGTTGTACTATTACGCCCCGTTTATTTTGGATTATAAGGAAGGGATTGGGATTCATAGTGAGATTAGAACCCACTAATATCATGTTTATTTTGAGAGATGGAGAGGAGATTTGTAATCCCTTCTGGACTACGAAACCCCTTGGAGAGGGGATTAGGATAGGCCTGTAGGACTTGGTATAAGAAAAATAGTCTGGCGGACTTGAATTTTTTTATTTTTATTTATTTTTTATTTTATTTTTTACATGTCGGATATTTTTTTTTGAACATTAATGTTTAATTTTTTATACTTTTTGTTAAGTAAAAATCATTCTTTTATTTATTTTACTTTTTTTGAAATTTTTTTATTTTATTTTTATTTTTTTAAATTTTTTTACATGTTGGGCATTTTTTTTAAAACATTAATGTTTAATGTTTTTGTATTTTTTTTATTTGTTTTATTATTTTATATTTATTCTATATAAAAATAATTTAACAATTCCTACACCAATAACTATCATCAAAACAAACACAATTTTACTTAATTCCCTTATTATGAATCTCCTCCATACTACTTCTGAAAATAAACGTAACCAAAAAAACGTATCTTTCTTTATATTTTCTTTGATCCTCAAGAACAAAAAAATGTTGAAGCTAACCAAACCCTGATTTTAATTTATGCTCTACCAATTGAGTTCTTTTGGAACCTGACTTTACCCCGTAATCAGTTGTCGGCCTGATTTCACCCAACCCATAAAAGGGATCTACCGTCGAAATATCAGTGGAGCTCATCAACCACCTCCAACTAAGCTAAAATTCGATCAAAATATAGTGCGACCTCTCTAAAGAGAACCACTAGATAATACCCGGCATGACTCCTCTTGTTCACAACGTGACTGGGCAAATACAAACAACAATTTTGCAAATGTAGATCTCGATGTTCATCTTAGAGTTCATTTCTTTTGGATAAATTAAGTTAACTTCTCTTAAGATATAAAAAAAATACAATAAGTTTTACAATTTTGACATAATTATACCCACTTCTAGTTTAGCAAGACTAAAAAGACTAAAACTAATAACTAAAACTAATATAGATGACACCAAAAAAAAAAAAAAACAATAAAATAAAATAAAAATATATTTAATGTAAAAGAGTTGACAACATCGTTTTTTTATTCATATCACTACAACATAATTAATTATTTACAACTTCATGCTTACGGCATGCATCAAACGTATGTATGTCATAGTTAGTATATTCTACAACATTTTTTCTTGCAGGCTGTTAATATTTTGTCAATAATGACATACACATTATGTAAACCATTGATTCATATATTTACGACATACAAAAATATGTCGTAACAAATGTATACTTTTGCATCTTAATCAAATTTGCCATGAAATATTTATACTTAAGATGACATGCATTTTATTCTGCAAAATGTCATAATCTTAAAGAATTTTTTATGAAAAAAGAATAAAGTGTTATGTCAATTAAAATTTTAAGAGAGTGCAATATAATTATATTAAACTTGTAAGATTTATTGCATTTTTTTCAAATATTAGGGGAGATTAATGTAGATTTTTTAATTTTTTTTAAATTTTTAGAATTTCATTTGTAGCTTGCATTTGACACAAGCCAGTGCAATTGTGCTGAATAGTAGATGAAGCCCCATCTTTTGTGATTGGCTAATCTCCATTGTTTAAAATATAGTAACGCTTCACATACCTACTATTTTACCATTTTGTTTTGTTGGTTATGCTAATTACTCACAAAGCTGTTGTTAAGGTAAAATTAATATCAAAATAATTAGAATTAGAATTTTATTTTATTTTTTTTACATATTTGATATTTCCAACAAAACAGTCAAACAAGTTGCGTTTTTTTTTTTTTTTTTGGTTTTTTTTTTTTCAAAATGAAAACATAAAATGAAAACACAATCAAACATTAGCTATATAAATGTGACTGCATGCCACATCCCGATCATTTAACTAAAGATTCGTTTGAAAAGTGGGTTGACTTTTTAACTTTTTGACTTTTTAAACCTGAAATTAAAAAATCTCGTTTGAAAAGAGTTTTTTGATTTTTTTAACTTTTTATGAGAGAAAAAATATAATGATTATGGATTAGATGTAATGTTTAGATGTAATGTTTTGTCTTATTTGATTAAAAAATCTATTTTATTTTTTTGTATCTAAAATAGCCTCAAACCTAACCCAACTCATCTTCCCAAAGAGAGGCTAAATTAACAGCATGTCAAACAAGTGTCATTAACTAGCACAATGAGACCTATTCTACAACATTTAACTAAACTGTCTAGTTATTGGGCCAAGGCCCTTGCGGCAAGTTGGTGACGGTGGCCTTTTTAAATAGTATGTGTTTGATTGGGGGATTAGGAGGGGGGACTATCCACTATTTGGATTGTAATCCAAATAGTGTACTTTATCCGTCGTTTGATTTTTTTTTAGTCCGGCGGACTCTATATCCGGCCGGACTCCATGTCCCCTATATGGGGGACTATCCTGTCCTGGGGGGGTGGGACAGAAAGTGGGGGGAGCTTCTATATACACACACCAAACACCCTTAATACACACACTTAATAAAGGAGGTGTGGGAAAAGTATAGTGGGGAGAGATGTGTAGAGAGTGGATGTTGTGGGTGTAAATAGAAGCTCCCGAAAGTGGGGGACTAATTACTGTTTGGATTATATGCGAAAATGACCATTTTGACCCTCTACTATTTAATTATGTATTATATTTAATAAAATTCAATAAAATTTAAATGTCTCAATTTAAAAATAAAATAATTTTATTTAACTTTTTATTAATGTTTTATTTATTTAATTTTTTAAAATAATTTTTTATAGATATTTTATTGATGTTTTATTTTAAAATTTTGTTTATGTTTTATTTAATTTCATTGTTTAAATTTAATAGATGTTTTAATAGATGTTTTATTTAAACAATTAAATGTTTAATTTCAACAATAAATAATTTCATTTATTTAAATTATGTTTTATTTAAACATTTAAACATTTGTACATCAACATGTTTATTAAATTATTTCAACATCTGTACATCAACATGTATATTTATTTAACATCTATTAAATTATGTTTTAATACATCAACATTTGATTACATCTACATTTGTTAATTGTTAATTACATCAACATTTGTTAATTGTTTAAACATAATCTATACATCAACATTTATTTAATTGTTAATTGTTAATTGTTTAAACATAATCTGTACATCAAAATAATTTCAATGTTAATTGTTTAAATAAAATATGGGGTTGTGGTGAATTCTTTCACTGAATTAGAACATGGTTGTGTTGAAGAGTACGGAAAGGCCTTAGACAAGAAGGTATTGTATTGCTGAAACATTTTTTTAACACTTGTAGCATTTTAAATTAACAATTACCATGTCTTTTAACGTAAAGACAGAAATTAAAAGACGCTTGTCACGAATAGAGCATAGTAAACAATTGAAAAATGGTAAAATAGTCTTTTGTTCATTTATCCTATCCAGTCCGCCCAACCAAACGTTGGATTCACTGAAAATAGTCCTATCCAGACATCTAATCCCATGAAAAAACAAACACAGGATACATATCCAATCCGAAGTCCGATGGATTCTAATCCCCCTTTTCCAGTCCGTCCAATCAAACACACCATAACTTTACTAACAAACTAACAAATCTAACTGCCTAACAAAAAAAACTGTCTAGTTATTGGATTAAATTAAGCAAAGGTTGGAAAAACTTTTGAGCAATGGCCAATACAAAGTAGTGCAAAGCATAACAGGCTTTCTACATAGCTCTGTTTTCATTTTTGTAGCAACAAAACAGATGCAAAATATTCTCTAAGTTGTGGTTGAAAACCAACTCCCAGAAAGAATCAGTTCTAAACCATTAACTCAGTTAGTTGGTCAGATTAAGTATGTGATGAGGGGGAATATTTTCTTTCAAACATAAATTCTTGTCAGCAATCATATCATATCTTTGGTTGATCAAAACCACCAATGATATATTCTAATTACAGTGATCACAGATGTTCAACACTCTTACAATTACTCTCATGAGGAATTTAGCACCCAAAAAACAAAGACAACACACTTCATAATGAATTATTGCCTGCAAAATATGAACTATAGAAATCCACAAGAGAGAGAGAGAGAGAGAGAGAGAGAGAGAGGGCACAAGTATGATCATTGCATTAGTGAAATGAGGACAGGAAAGCCCAGAGAACAGAGGTTAGCAGTTAGCCTTTTACTGGTTTATCAGCTTCAATCTAATCTATGAACAAATTACCAAAAATAAAAGCTACTATGAACAAGTTAAAGCAGAAGCTAAAGAAAAACATGGGCCACTGCAATTGAATGGTTTTAGCCTATTGCAGTTGACACACTCGCATTACATTTTTTTTTTTTTTGCTTTAAACTGGGAACAGTTTGCACAAGTATTCAAAAATGACTCGCAGTTCTTTCAGAGGTTCTCCCCAAATCCCGGACATAATACTCATTTCACGTTTCCAAGGTCTTCTTGTCTTGTCTTTAAAATTGATCTTTTGTCGTGTCTTATTAATAAGCTCGATCATAAAAGTGTCTCAGCCAAGCCGATGAGAAGTCGCAAATGGCAACAGATGTTGATGGTAATTGTTGAATAGGGTAGTCCCTCCATTTAGAACATTGATCACACTTGTGGCTTTCTGATATAGAAGCTTATGGAGTGACATGTATATTTCTTGTTTCATTACGTGCCTGTTTGCCTGTAAGACATTTAAAATCAGTTTTGTAAGAAATCATCAGCTGAGAGATTCTTATATTAAGAAAAAAGAAACATAAATTTGTTATTTTTTCCCTCTCTTCTCTATCTGTTAATCCAATGTTTACCTCAGCCTCAACAATGAAACATGCCCATATCTTATTCTCACGAATTTCCATCACTCCCTTCAATATAGTCAAGCCAAAACCTTGAATTATATCAATTATCTCAAGAAAAAATCCATTTTCTTCACAAAGCATCTGCAACAAAAAAATGTAAAAATATATTGAGTAGTTCCAATTTTGTGTAATTTTATATATTTCTCCAGCAAGAAAAGGGCTATATATATGTACATTCCTTTCTATACCTGTATTAGCTTTTGGCCCGAGGGACTAAGGTCCTTAACATCCACCGGATCCACCATTGTCTGAGCCAATTCAGTTTCCTGGTCAATCATGCAAGGCTATTACTATTGGAGAAGAACCAATCGTTAAAACTTGTGAGAAAACAACTTTCTTGATTGTTAAAGCTAAATACAACCGGCCAAAGCAGACCACTGTATTACCTTTCGCTCATCAGCCTGTTGTAGTTTTTCTGCATGTTTTGTCACACTTTGCAAGAAAAGCATGTGTTTGATGGTTTGAGCCAACAAAGAATCAATGCTCATCTGTTACATTAACCGATTAGAGACATTAGCCAACAATTCAAGCAGTAATCTTAACCAACACAGCACCAAAAACACCGAAAAGTTTCCAGTTCCCACTATTTTCATGTTTGAAGGACCAAAACCAAGAAATCGATACAAGGTCACACCAGATTCCCAATTTATTTGCCACTGTAATGAAGAAAAACAAGTACCTTCACACCATTAGGAATGAGTTTTCTCAACTCCGCTATGCGTTCTTCAATCTGTATGCGGTCCTTGGGCTTTGGTCGAGACCCTGGTCTAGCCCTTTTTCTTCCAACCTTTGCAGATTCCTTGGACTTTTTAGGTTTTGATACAACAAGGCTACTTCCACCAGTGATGCTATAACTGTCGCCAATCCGTGAACCCACTAGTGATTTTGGGTTGACCGCTTTCTTTGGTTCAAGATTATATACAGGACACAAAGAGTTCATGTTCCCACTAAAGCAGGGAAGGCTTGTCAAATGCACTTGATTATCGCTAACTGAGCAGCTTCCCATTTTTCTTTTACTTGTTGAGGATAATTCATCCCCAAAACTAGAGCTGGCCATGGAATTAGAACTCGAAAACTGTTCAAGTCCTAATTTGGAGAATAACCTTTCTTGGGGACCAACCATGGAACCAACACACTGCTCTGAGACGCGTTCTGATGTATCTGTTATAAAATCCAGGTGACCAGCACTCACTACTGGCATCAGAATCTCATTTAAAAAATCCTCTGCCTGTCCACACTCGAAATCTACTCCAAAACCATCAAACAGGTCATTTTCGACACTAAAATCATTAAAAAGTTTCTTGTTTCCACCAGAATTGAATTTATTTGTGACAGAACTTTGCACAGAATTAGCCAGATTATTAAATGGAGACACATTTTGAGAACTCGGCAGCCTTGTTTCAGATAGCAGTTGCTGCTCAAATGAAGTCAGAGTTGACTGTCCACTACTCCATGTACTAATGCAAGGTGTTGGGGCAGCAGAGCAATAAGTGGTAGATTGTACTAGTGGAGCTTCTGTGGTAACCATTTGCAACTGATTTTGAAGATGAGATGAGTGTGTCCTTCCATGGTCAGAAGTGAAAGGGGATAACCATGGAAGATCTGCTGAAGAACTAGTTGTTCCCACATAATTTTTAGAATTGGCATCATCAATAGGTTTCAAATTCCTGGGATTGGAATTTCCAGATGATATTAAGGAAGCAAACAACCCTCCGCTCATACCATAAATTTCACTGTTTGAAGATGAACGGATGTTGTCTGGTAAAAAAACCATATCACCATTTTCTATCTCTCGAAACAATCTTTTCGTCTGATCCACAAATTCCATTCTCTCAGGAATCTGCAGCAGCAAGAAGCAGTACCGTCAAAGAAACTAAAATAGCATTATGCACAAAATTAAAATAATAAAAAACAATGAAATTTAAAGAAATTGGCACATGAGCTCAAGTTGAAATTGAGGTCTCCACATGAGTTTGATGAGATGAGACTATCCTCAGGTTCTTTATTACATAATCTCTAAATATCATATTTTTCATGTAGAAGGCAATGTATTTCAAGTATAACAGAGAGGTTACCATAAATCAATTAAGCTAAGGATGAATATAAATGCTTAGTATTGCACATGAGAATAAAAGCGCTGATAACAATAGCTGAAAATCAGAGAACAGCCATGCTGCCGTCAAAATTGAGGCTTCCATTAAACTTCTTCAATGTTAGAGATGAAAACTTTTTAGAAACACGAAAACTTATGAACATTTACTCATCCTTACATAGTACGACAACATATAGATATCGGCTATAATGGCATGTCTATATTCTAATAACAATAGTCTTTCTCATTATAATTTTGGAGGAAAATAATACATTGAAACAAACCATTTAGCCCATAACAATTGATATGTAAAGAGCACTAAACAAAATAAGGGCAGAATGAGGGTCTTTATGTTTCCTATTTGAAAAAAAAATTGAAATTAGTGATCCCTGTCAGTAGCATTGCTTGTCATGAATATGAAGTCATATAGCTCAAATGGTTCAAGGGGTAACATTGTCTTAACTGTCTCACTCAAAAACTAAAGTTAAAATAAAAACCAAGAATTTAAACAAGTGCAAAACATGCTGGAAGAATTGCATAAAGAAGAAGAAAAAAAATGTCACACAGGTGAACCAATTGCTAACCTTCTGGGTAGATCCAAACTGTACCACCCCTCGTGGTTCCACAGAGATTAGAACAACTGTCTGCAAAATGAGATTAAACAATCAATTGGTATGGCTTATGCCTTGTATTGAGATGATGACAATCAATTGACTCCCCTGGCCTGCATGTGGGTTGTCTGCCACTTTGGGTGTATTTGTATTCCGATATACCAAAAAATATAAAATAAATCTAAATCTCAACCATATCATAGTACACATGCTAATATTTTTCAAATTGGATATGCTTGAGAGAAGGATAAGGATACCTCTATTCCACAGGAAAATTGGTGATGAATCTCGGAATTATCCTGTAAATGAAAATCCAACTTCCAAATAAGTGGACAAAAACTTGCCAATGTCCTGTTTAACCAACTGATTTCCCTAAGTAAATAATAGTGAAGTTCAACAAAAAAATGATTGCTATTTTAACTTAAAAGATGTTTAATTAATGAAAAAATGGAAGCTACAGCATAGTAATCGACTCGAATGTTTCCCAGACACAAGTAGTTCAAATTCATCATGGTCAAAAGGGTAGTAAACAAAATTTCTAAAGTAGAAACATCATCAATACCTGGATCATATCATGATTATCAATAGAAACTACAGCATCAGAGAACATCCATCGGTGCGTATTAGTAAAAGCTGATTGGCCAACAATTCTAAATAACAAAATAATAACAACATCAGCCTCATAAAAGTTTGCTTTCAGTTTAGACGCGTCACTGGATACAAATTACAATAGTTCTAGACACAGAACCAGACCACAGAAAATACTAGTGGAACAATGTGAGGGGAGCAGAATCGGGCTCCACCATCAGATGTGTATGGACATTATTATTTTCTGTGATTGTTACTGTGTCAATTATTGATACAAATTGTCTTCAAGATTAAAGTTTTAGAGAAGCTGAAAATTTTTATACAATTCATAAATTTCATAAGAAAAACTATAAACTTCAGTGTGCATACCCATTGCCGAGGACGTGGACTTGCAGAAGCATGTCGTCGATAATGACCCCAACATGCTCTTCATAGTAAGCATCTTCCATAGTCAACAATCTGGTGATCATAGCATTTCATTGAACCATCAAGAATGAACACGATCTAAAAAGAAACCTAAATCCCTAGAACAACTAAGGTTGTGTTTGGTTTATGGATTTGGGAAGAAAAAAGAAAAAGGGGTGTGAAATGTAATTATATTTAATTCACATTTCACCTACCTTTTTCCTTTTTCCTCTTTCCAAATCCCTACTTTTGCTTTCCAAATCCCTACCTAAATCCTCGAACCAAACACAGCATAAAGCAATCTGGAGCTCAACAAATTGACAGCTTTCTTATACTTTCACGAGTAATCAGAGACCAATGCATTCTCTACAATGCTGAAAGTCATAATATATATTGAACTTCAGAGAAACTAGGAAAAAGGTTAGATCTCACACAAAATATCGTATTTGTGACTAATGGGACGTAAGGCTCAGGGTATTTATGCATTTAATGACTGGAATCTACTAGATTTATTCTTTTTTTTTCCTTTTTCTTATTTTTTATTTTTATTTTTTGTTGATAACCCATTTAACCTTATTTTTGTAGTTAGCAAATTTGCAAACATTCATTCTCTAATAAGACAGTGAATGACAAAAACAAAAAGGAACCAAAATCCCAAGGCTTTTTCCTTAAACCCACTTGTATGAATCCAAGGAACCCACAAAAACAAAAGAAAACTGAATGACAAAAACAAAGGAGACAAAAAACAAAAGAAAAAACAAAAGAAGAAAGAAAGAAAGAAATAATAAAATCCTATGGTTCTGATAAAATCCTAGACATCCATGCCATTGTCACAACAAAGACAAACAAAATCACAGAAATGGAAACTCATAAAGAAAACTATATTAAGGCCACTTGTAGAAGTTACTAGTATTAGTAGACCATGAAAAGAAAAAGAATCAGAAGAAGAAGACATAAAATTCAAAAACACGAAAGAGAATATATAAACAGACATGCAAGAGTAGGAAGAAAAAAGCACAAGAAAATAACATAAATAAACAATTCAAGTTCAAAATTCTTCAAACCACCATACCCAAAAACCAAAAAAACCAAAAAGAAAAATCACACAAACACACATGCACATATATACATGGATACACACACACACACAGATGATGCCAAACTTACAAGGAATTTGTGGGATCAAAGCGCCAAAAAACACCATAAGACCATCCGTAATTGCGGCAGAGTCTCTGAAGCGCTTTGTGAACCTGGGAATCACTTTTCTTTCTGAGCATTTTGCTGATCAAATCCAAGAATTAATGCAAGCCCTTCTTCTCATGCACCAAAAAAAACCCACAAATCAAGCAACAATCGATTCAACGCAGAAAACCAACAAATAATCCACAAATTGCTCTGGCAAAAGCGATCTCTGCAAAAGTGGGTCTGCCTCAAATTGAGAAGCTTCGAGTAGTTGAAGAAGAAAAGCAAAGCAGTTGTCGTTGGGTTGGTTTTTCAGAGTGAATGAACGGTCCCGAGCTCTTCTTATGTTTTCGAACTGTCCCAAAAGGCAGTTTCTACTGTGAGGAAACAAAGAAAATAGAAATATAAAGCGATCCAAGGACAGATAGAGACGATTTAAACACAGAGTATGTATGTATGTATGTATGTATGTATAGTTGGAGAAGAGAGATAGAAGATGGGTTTGTGTTGGTAAGAAAGATCACGTAGTACACCCCAGAGCTTGAAGACTGTCTACAGAGTTTCCAGAGATCTTCGCCATTTATGTACTGTCTGTCTCTCTCAGCTATAATATAATGCTTATGGATTGGTTTTACAAAAATAATACGGTGGTCTGTGATATTCTAAATAAAATTAATTTTTTTTTTAAAAGAGAAGAAGTTAATAGACGTTGATTGATGTAATTAAAATAAATGTATGGAATTACTTAGGAAGTATTAAAGTAGTATATTTTTTGACTTTTTATAATATAAAATATAAGTTGAGTTTGAAGTAATGTTATAGAAAGTCAATGTAATTTAAATAAAAAATGATGTGATTCAAATAAGATGATGTGTTACAATAGCATTAGCACATGCCAAACACTCTAGTTTTGGAAGATTGAAAAAAGACAAAAAGTCAAAAAGTCACTATCCTATTTAAGTCGCATCATCTTATTTAAGTCACATCACCTCTCTAACACATTACTTCAAACCCAACCCAAACCCAATCCATATTTCATAAAAATTTAAAAAATACACTCCTTTAGTCTCCCCAAACTATATAGGTAAAAAGGTGTATTTTTTTAGTGGACGCGAAACAAGCACTAATAGTTTCAATAAATTAAAAAATATGATTATTTGAAAATTTTGGGGCACCGTGTTTTTTCAATTGTTTTTTTTTTTTAGTAATTTTTTAAAAAAGTTGTTTCAATTTTTTTACTTGGTATTATTATGGTGTAGAATGATCTTAAAAATATATATTTTTTTTAAATATAAAAAAAGTTACCTAAAGACAAAAGCAAAAAATAAAAAAAAGTGACTCTTTTTAATCTAGTAGTTGGTTTAGAAATAAGAGTCTTGTTTGGTTTGTATTTGAGAAATATGTTTTAAGATAAAAAGTACGAAAATTTGTTTAGTTTAATTTTTTTTTAAAAGATATTTTGAAAAATTATTTTGAGAGAAAGTTTTGAAAAAAGTGATTGGTTTGACTTTTTAATAATTTTTTTTGTTAAAATATGAGATGAGAAAAATTAGTTTGTTTGAAATGATTTTTTTATTTTTTTACGAAAAAATATGTAAAAAATAGCGAGAAATAAATTTTTCGACTTCCTTGTATAATTATTTCAATTTTTGACATTTTTAGTGATTTTTTAACTATTATTTAATGTTGCCAAACTTACCGAACCCTCACCACCACCACCACTCCCCCCCCCCCCCCCCACCCACCCCCACACCCCCACTTTCCCCAAAAAAAAATTGTAAAAAAAAAAAACAATTAAACACACACACACACACACACACAATTAAGTCCTGCAAAACCTAAAAAATGTAAAACTTTTTGATAAATTTTAAATTTTTTTAGCAAAGATAACAAAAAAAAATTACAAAAATCAATAAAAATGCAAATACTAAACATACCTTAAGCCCAACATCCTTCCCAAACATTTAACCGGTTTTAATTCTAACTTAAGGCCTCGTTCAGGACCCTCCCATTTAGTTAAAAAGTCAAAAAGTTATTAAGAAAGTCAAAAAATCAACAATCCATACCAAAAAGTCAAATATTCTCTTTTCTCTCTACTTTTTGCACATCTTTTCGTAAAAAGTCAAAAAGTCATCCCAAACATACTAGTTTTTTTTAGCTCATATTTTAGCCAAATAACTAAAAAGTTACTGTTAGTAATGGGCGCCCATGTGGCATGACCATTAAATTTGAATTTGAATCCTTATCCAAATAGGTTTTGATTTTGAAATCAAACATATTTAGGATAACCACTCAAGAAACAGATGTTATCAGTTTTAAACTGATATGGATAGATATTATAATATAATATATATATGTTATATGGTTATGGGTAATCCAAAATATTTTAAAAAAATAAATCCAAAAATACTGTTCCAAACACTCCAAACCTATCCTCCAATCCAAAAATATTTTTTTAATATTTTCAAAGAAAGGGCAATAAGGTAATTTTCTAAGGAAAAAGTAACACCGTTTACTGATTTTTGACAGCAGGAGGGAATCTTGATATTGTCAGGTAAAGCAGGGGAGGTTACTGTAATTATTCAAACCACAGGGAGGTCCCTGTATTTGTCAGAAACCTCAGGGGAGGTAAATGTAATTTACCCAATAAAATATAAAATATAAGTTGAGTTTGAAATAATGTTATAGAAAGTCAATGTAATTTAAATAAAAAAGGATATGATTCAAATAAGATGATGTGCTAAAATAGCATTAGCACATGCCAAACACTCTAGTTTGGGAAGATTGAAAAAAGACAAAAAGTCAAAAAGTCACTATCTTATTTAAGTCACATCACCTCTCTAACACATCACTTCAAACCCAATCCAAACCCAACCCATATTTCATAAAAAGTCAAAAAGTACACTTATTTAGTATTTCCAAACTATATATGTAAACAAAAATGATTTAGAGCTCTAAAAAATGAGCTCTAAATCCATCACTAGTGTGTTGGCAGTGGGGTCTAGTGATAGACTGTGTCTTGTTTTCTTTTTCTTTTTTTTTATTTCCTCCATGCCAGCTCATTAGAGCTGGCATTAGAGCTGCTGAATTAGAGCTCTCCAGCAGTGCTCTATATGTAAAAAGGTGTATTTTTTTAGTGGACGCGAAACAAGCACTAATAGTTTCAATAAATTAAAAAATATGATTATTTGAAAATTTTGGGGCACCGTGTTTTTTCAATTGTTTTTTTTTTTAGTAATTTTTTAAAAAAGTTGTTTCAATTTTTTTACTTGTTAGGATTATGGTGTAGAATGATCTTAAAAATATATATTTTTTTTAAATATAAAAAAAGTTACCTAAAGACAAAAGCAAAAAATAAAAAAAAAGTGACTCTTTTTAATCTAGTAGTTGGTTTAGAAATAAGAGTCTTGTTTGGTTTGTATTTGAGAAATATGTTTTGAGATAAAAAGTACAAAAATTTGTTTAGTTTAATTTTTTTTAAAAATATATTTTGAGAAATTATTTTGAGAGAAAGTTTTGAAAAAAGTGATTGGTTTAACTTTTTAATAATTTTTTTTGTTAAAATATGAGATGAAAAAAATTAGTTTGTTTGAAATGATTTATTTATTTTTTTACGAAAAAATATGTAAAAAATAGCGAGAAATGAATTTTTCGACTTCCTTGTATAATTATTTCAATTTTTGACATTTTTAGTGATTTTTTAACTATTATTTAATGTTGCCAAACTTACCGAACCCTCACCACCACCACCACTCCCCCCCCCCCCCCCCACCCACCCCCACACCCCCACTTTCCCCACACACACACACACAATTAAGTCCTGCAAAACCTAAAAAATGTAAAACTTTTTGATAAATTTTAAATTTTTTTAGCAAAGATAACAAAAAAAAATTACAAAAATCAGTAAAAATGCAAATACTAAACATACCTTAAGCCCAACATCCTTCCCAAACATTTAACCGGTTTTAATTCTAACTTAAGGCTTCGTTTAGAACCCTCCCATTTAGTCAAAAAGTCAAAAAGTTATTAAGAAAGTCAAAAAATCAACAATCCATACCAAAAAGTCAAATATTCTATTTTCTCTCTATTTTTTGCACATCTTTTCGTAAAAAGTCAAAAAGTCATCCCAAACATACTAGTTTTTTTTAGCTCATATTTTAGCCAAATAACCAAAAAGTTACTAAATTAAACCAAGTTTGGGAACTTGGTTTGGGGCTAAAATAGCCACAAAAAACAAAATAGGCTATTTTAGCCACAAAAAACAAAACATCAAATCCACCTCGGTCGCCTTTTCTAAAGCAAGCTTGGCATCAATTTCTTGTAAAGTTTCCTCAACACTCTTCTTAGAAATGGTGACATCGGCTGATATCTTCTCGGAAGCAGCATCTTTTCGAACCTCCTCATCCTCCTCATCTTGAGTCAAGTCCAGGACTTGCTCATTCTGAAGAGGGGACTTGGCCCCATCAGCATCCTTGGATTTTCTCACCAAGGCCTCATCCTCATCCTCGTTACCATCCTCAGACTCAAATTCGCCGACATCTTGACTTGGAGGTGGAGATGGAGGGAATGGAAGAGGAATGAGGTCGGCATTTCTGAAAGGCGAGTCCTCGGGGACATTGAGCTTATTTAGAAGAGACATCCAACCAAGGGTGAAACCCTTGTTGCATGCCTGCTTCACTTGAAGTTCATAAGCCTCCGTGGCATCGGCCATGCCTTGAGCGTATGCTTTTTCGTCGGCATCCTTAATTTCAGCCTCTTTGGTGACCAAGGCTTTTTGAAGCTCTTTTTCTACTTGGGCCATCTTCTCCTCGGCCTCTTTTCTTTGGGCCTCAGAGCCCTTCCTGATGGCCTCGGCAGATTCAGCCTTTTCTTCGGTATCAATTTGGGCTTTGATGGTGGCCTCAGCTTGGTCTTTCAACTTTTTCATTTTTGACTGTAAGCCTTTGTTGGTTTTTTGAAAAGAAGAGAACTCCCTCTTCATATCGACCAGCTTTTGCTGATTTTCGAAAGACTGAACAAAAAAAGAGTGGGCATGTTGGATGCCCTGAAGAAAACACAGGGTAAAAGTTATTGCAAAAATTTCTAAGTATGAAAAAGAAAAGAAAAAAAGTGCCAGATGAAAGACACTTACTTGAACAGAGCGTTGAAGCATCAATGCATAGTTTTCGTATTCGCTCAACTCGGTGTTTCGCTCCAGATCGCCTGGTAACAGCAGAGCAGTGCTGAGCGCAACGCCGACATTAATATCCTCGGCACTATCATTTGCCATGACTGGCTTATCCTCCAAAGTAATTTTGGGGGCCTAGGGGGCAACAGGCTTCTTAGACCTCGAAGTTGTAGCGGGGGATGACTTCGGCTTTTTGGATTTTGGGGATTCTGATGGTTGGGCTTCAGAGCGCCTCTTCCCAGCAGAGGGTTGAGGTTTGTCACTCTCAGCCAACTTTGAAATAGGCAAGGTGACTTCAGGCTCAACCTGAGTTACCTTAGCCTTTAGTTGAGCCTTCTTTATTCTTTTCGGCTTCGATAGAGGTTGGGTTTGTACTGGTTGATCATCAACGGATGACGGAATGCTGGCCAGAAGATCTTTTGCAACCGATTTTTGGCGACCCATCTCGGCGTAAGAAACTGA